GCGTAACTTACAGCTTTTGGATCCTGACAGAAGAAGTTTTGGTTGATAAATGTACGAAATTTCGCTAAATTCCATTCTCTCTTTGATTTTTTAGAAAATCTTAAACTTTTAGTTAGCGATAAATTTGGCCCAAAAACGCATGTTTATACTCACAAATTCGCAACTCCATAATTATCCGCGGCAGACTTTAGAACTTTTAGACCCCCACAGAAGAAGTTTTCATTAATAAATGTACAAAATTGCGCTTCATTCCCTTCTCTCTTTGATTATTTAGAAAATCTTAAACTTTCAGTAAGCGACATATTTGGCCTAAAAACGCATGTTTGCAAAAAATCATAACTCCTAAACTGTAGGCAATGGAATTTCGACTTTTTGAACGCTTATAGAAGAAGCTTGTGTGGATCAGGGTACATAATTTCATTTGACTCGATTCTCTCTTAATTTTTTTAGAAAAACTAACTTTCAGTATGTAAAAAAATTGACCCAAAAGTGCATGTCCGTACTTAAATAATCACAACTCCTAAACTGGATTCGTTGGAATTTTAATCTTTCGAATCCGTCTCTACTTGATTTCGATCACTCGTTCATTGTCCAGAAAATCGGCAACTTTCAGTTAGCGAAAAACGTGAACTAAAACGCGTGAGGCACTAAAACGTGCTTACTTTTTTTTTGACCTTTTGAATTCCTAAAGATGTTTTTATTCACAAATGTACGAAATTTCGCTTCATTCCATTCTTTGATGTTTTTTTTTTTGAAAATATGAAACTTTCAGTTAGTCAGAAATCTGGCCTAAAAACGCAACTCCATAAATATCCGCGGCGTAACTTAGAGCTTTTGGATCGTGACAGAAGAAGTTTTTGTTGGTAAATGTATGAAATTTCGCTAAATTCCATTCTCTCTTTGATTTTTTAGAAAATCTTAAACTTTCAGTTAGCGATAAATTTGGCCCAAAAACGCATGTTTATACTCACAAATTCGCAAATCCATAATTATCCGCGGCAGACTTTAGAACTTTTAGACCCCCACAGAAGAAGTTTTTATTAATACATGTACAAAATTGCGCTTCATTCCCTTCTCTCTTTGATTATTTAGAAAATCTTAAACTTTCAGTAAGCGACATATTTGGCCTAAAAACGCATGTTTCTAGTTAAAAAATCGCGAAACTTAGAGCTTTTGGATCCCGACAGAAGTTTTTGTTGATAAATGTACAAAATTTCGCTTGATTCCATTCAGTTCTTGATTTTTCAGAAAATCTGCAACTTTCAATTAGCGAGAAACACGGTTCAAAAGTGCATGTCGCTACTTAACAAATCACAACTTCTAATTTAGAGGCCACTGATTTTTCACCTTTGGATACTTGCAGAAGAAGCTTTTACTGATAAGTGTGCAAATTTTCATTTGATTTCGATAACTGTTTTTCACCCTGCAGCCTCGGCTGTGAGACCATGCACAAATTCATCCTTAAGCCTTCATTCTTATTGTCCAAACCCCTAGAATCCCTCAGTAGAGATTCAACGATAAACTCACCGTTCAGTTAGTCGAGCACTGAACTCAATCGTCCCAATCGTCATCGTTGGAAGTGCTGCTGGTGTCATCATCATCGTCCTCTGAATGGATCAGCTTGCTCCTCTCTAAAAGCGCCTGCTTCAGAGCCCTAAAACCCCCAGAAAACTTCCCAATTTGCCCCGTTGAACAGCCACTAAATCTCACCTGGCTAAATCGATGCCTCCAGTACTATTGGGAGAAGGATCTTGAGCCGGCTTAATTTCCCGTTCATCCACCGGCTTCAGCTGGATTCCTTTGCGAATTGCGCTCAACAAATCGCCGCGAGCGTCGTCAACTGGCGACGACTTTCTTTCCTCCACCGGCTGCAAAATATTCCCATGTAAAAACGTCCAGTAAAGGACTAAAACTCGCACCTTCAGAGTGGCTCCATCGCGAATACTCTGCAGCAAAGCGGCGTTGCCGTCCAAAGCAGGAGGCGATTGAGGCTGGAGACTGCTGACCATCATGGGCGGAGGCGGAGGAACGTTCTCGACCATTGGGGGCGGCGGTGGAGGAGGCGGCGGCGCCGCCCCACCCTTAGCAAACTTCGGCGGCGAAGGCGGCCTGGGTTTTCTTGGAGCGTTATCTAAAACATCCCAGCTGCACTCGCGTCTGGACCAACCAATCAAAACCTACCTTGCCGATTGGGGACTGGAGGGGGTGGCGGCGCGGGCCTGGGATTGGCCGAAGTGGGCCTGGTTGGGCCCCTTGGAGGCACCACTGGCGGATTAGCGTCCGCATCCAGAGCCGATTTGCGATGTTTGCTGATAAAATCATAGATAAACTCCCGAGTGTCTTTATCTTGCAGCTGTTTCTTCGAAACACCTGCCTATCATTAGGAAACAATCGCATAACTAAGGGTGAAAGTGAAAAGGCACTCTTGTCTACCGTGTCAAAGAGGGACTTCAACTGCTCATCTGCAATGTCCACATCGAAGCCCGTATTGGGATTCCAGCCGACATGGGAAATGTGCACGAAGTCCATTGGAGTACCTGCGGAAAAGCAATTGCATTTAGATAGGCCTTTTTGGGGCCACCCTATAGCAGCGACTTACTGATATCGGCCTTAGTGATGTTCCGTTTCCTTTTCTCCAGCCTGAGCTCCTGCTTGACGATAGAATCAAGGGTCTTAGGTGGTAACTTTATCGATGGAGTCTGGTTTACTTGCCTGGCCTTCTTCTCCTCCTTCCTTCTCAGTGCGCTCAGTTTCTGATCGACTGCAGCCTTCAGCTGCAGCGCTTCCTGTTGGTTAGCGAAATTAAAGGCCACAATGCAGTCTTCACCTACAAGCAACAAGCAACCAATTATTATGAGGCGATATTTTAATGCGGATCGGTATTTTTGGAGCGCGTTGAACTGAAAGTGGCAACATTTCTGGAAAACCAACAAGTGAACGGAACCAAATGCAACTTTGAACAATTTATCAACAAACGCTTCTTCCATAAGTACTGGAAAGTTCAAAATTCCCCAGTTTAGGAGCTGTGATTTTTCTTAGCAACGAGATGCACTTTTGGACCACATTTCTGACTAACCCAAAGTGAAATATTCTCTAGGAAATAAACGGCTGATCGGAATCAAATTAAATTTTGTATACTTTCGAATCAAAAAAGCTTCTTCTGCAAGCGTTTGAAACTTCTATGGCTTCCAGTTTAGGATATGTGACTTTTTCAGTACCGATCTGCACATTTGGGCCACATTTTTAACTAACTGAAAGTTGCAGGTTTTGTAAAACCTCAGCGAGTTATTAAAATCAAATAAAATGTCGCATGTTTATTGACCAAGGCTTCTTCTATACGCATTCAAAAGATGGAAATTCGGTCGTGTCCAGTTTAAGGGTTGTGATYTTTTTAGTAGGTWTGAACATGCACTTTKAWAGCACRKTTCCGTCTATCCMKGGATAGACGGAAMYGTGCTWTMAAAGTGCATGTTCAWACCTACTAAAAARATCACAACCCTTAAACTGGACACGACCGAATTTCCATCTTTTGAATGCGTATAGAAGAAGCCTTGGTCAATAAACATGCGACATTTTATTTGATTTTAATAACTCGCTGAGGTTTTACAAAACCTGCAACTTTCAGTTAGTTAAAAATGTGGCAAATGTTGTATAAACTCGGCGAGTAATGGAGATTACATGAAATTTCGCACACTTATCAACACAAGCTGCTTCTATAAGCGATCGAAAGTTCAAAATTCCATCGCCTCCAGTTTAGGAGCTGGGATTTTTCAGATATCGACGTGCACATTTGGGCCACATTTTCAACCACTTAAGTGAATGTTGCAGATTTACTAAAAAAATCAACGACTGATCGGAATGAACTAAAATTTCGCACTTCTATTCCTCAAAGCTTCTTCTATTAGCGTTCAAAAGTTGAAAATTGTATCCTCTCTAGTTTGGGAGCTGTGATGCTCTTCTCAACATTCAAAGTTGCATCCTTGCAAGCATAAATATAGAAAATTCCAGTGATGTGACACTGTTGAGCTTATACAGAGTGTTGCATAATGCACTGCACCCATTAACAATGCGCATTCCTAGAGCAAACAGTTAAGTATTGGGTGTTTTATGCCTATTACAAGGCAAAGTTTCGAAACATTCTGATCCCACTGTGTGTGAGAGGATAATACGTGGACTCACACTGTCCTTGCCCAATGTATGACTTATCAGTACTTTCCATGCGAAAGTTTACCTTCAAACATGTGAAACCAAGCGGTTGACTCAATATACTCCATATTGCTGTACATTTCATGCTCCCAAACCATTTGGTTTTGGCGCAAATTGAACAGGCGAAAAAAGTAGTTTTTCTTGCTGTTGTCCTTCACGTAGCACAACACGCCCGTCTCCTTTTTAATCCATTGCGAATGGTTGGGAGGCGCCGTGAGGAAAAGTTGCACCACTGTGGTGGCGATGGTTTGGCACCGATTGCCCAACAATTTGAACACTTGTAGGTTTTCCTCGGTCGATAGGAGGGCGGAATTTTGATTTTCCACACTGGCAGGCGGCATTTTCATTATTCCGACGTGGTTTCGCCAACTTGGAGCACAGAAACTGGCACAAAACCAAATAAATAAACCCTTACTGATAGCAGTTGTTGTGTCAGACTTTTGACAACTGAGAAGTAAATATTCAAATAACCCTACTTACTGTTTTGAACAGTACCGGACCGGCCCGAGTGCACACCGGACAGGCAACATTTCGAGAAACAACTCCGAGGAGTGCATTTTATGCAAAAAAACATACACGACAAATTAAACTCTGCTTCATTAATCCTAAATTTCATCATGAAATCACTAGTTAGAAGAAATATGTGCCAATATCGGAGAATTGCTCAGGCATTTGCTACTAGCCGAGTAGGGCCCTGGCGATAAACAAACGCCAAACTGGTACCTAACGTACCTAACCTCACATTAATACGGTC